TCCAGTTATTTCCAGTTACTATTGATCTTTTTCATGTCTGTTTGCTTTAAATTACCGACTCAGTGTGTTCTTTGATCTTTCACTTTTTCGTTTCCATTTAGGATTTCAAGTTAGTACTTGTCTTGTGATGCAATTTGATGACTTCCATAACGTGTGTCCTATCCACTTCTCTAATTTCGTCTTCAACTAGAAGTTGGTTTGTTCTTTCACATAGTAGGCTGTTGCTGATGGGATCCGGTAAGTGGATGTTGAGTATTTTGTGTAGACAACTTTCTATAAATACTTGTACATTCTTGATGATGATTGTAGTAGTTCTTCAAGTTTCAGCTACATACAGTGGAACTGTCTTGACGTTCGTACTGAAGATTGTGACTTTGATATTGGTTGACAGTTGATGATATTTTTATTGTCTAACAGATTAAAGCTAGACCATCATTGAAACCTGAAAGCACTGGACAACCGTTTTGTTCTAGTATGGAACTCCTCAGCAACGTGCATCTACGATTCCTTACACCGGACTCGAACGAATGACATTCGGTCTCGCACGCGAACACTTAACCTGTAGACTACTGAGCTGCCATCAAATGGTGTTAATGTCTAACTTCAACCAATCCATAAAATTGTGTGACCATCTTCTATTGTCTGAAATAGATACTTATCTCTACCTGACACAGATCCCGCTAGCGGGATTACCAGGTCTTCAAAGGTGGTCCAACATCCATCGATTCATGATCTTAGTAAAAAATAATGTAAAGTCTAAACCTAACTGTTATTGTTTTGGTTGTTTTTTTTACTCTGTTGTGTATACACATATTAATTTCATTTGTATACCTCAAGCCTATCAATCTAATTACATTTGATGAAGAAGATTCGTAAGATGTAAAAACATTCACATATTTGGCAGCATCACTGATGAACACGGTGTATCTAATGGAGATATGAAGGCGTGGATCGGCAAAGCAAGAGTAGCTTATTTACAAATGAATAACATATGGAACTCAAACAACTATCTGTCAACCAACACCGAGGTCAGAGGTTTCAATACATGTATCAAGACAGTCCCACTGTATGAGGCGGAAACCTGGACAACAACGAAAGACATCATCCACAACATACAGGTGTTCATTAACAGTTGCCTACGTAAAATACTTAGGATCCGTTGGCCAGACGCTATCAGCAATAACAACTTACTGTAGGAGAGAACAAATCAGATTCCAGTGGAGGAAGAAATCAGGAAGAAGCACTGGAAGTGAGTAGGACACACATTGAGGAAAGCACCCAACTGCGTCACAAGGCAAGCCCTTACATGGGATCCTCAAGGCTAAAGGAGTGGAGGAAGACGAAAGAAAACATTACACTGAGAAATGGAGACAAATATGAGAGGAATGAACAAAAATTGGATAGAACTAGAAAGGACTGTCCAGAACACAGTGCGTTGGAGAATACTTATCGGCGGCCTATACTCCAATGGGGGTAACAGGCGTAAGTAAGTAAGTAATCCCAATCGTTTTTCGAGATTCCCAGTTGTGATTCATAGTTATACTTCAGTGACTTATTATAATAAACAAACTTCTACACTACTCATAATTATCTGTGATTATAGTCCTAACTAATTGGAGTCTAATCACTGACGAAAACATGAGTCCAATTTGTTAGCTGAAATATGATGTTGAATACTGACAAATAAGCAAACTGAAGGAAGAATTTATAGTTTATTTCTAATGACCATATATTATCAAGTAATTAAAAGTATGGTGTCAATCGAATTATTTTTGAATGAGGTAACTACTCAGTTGGGACTTGGGACAATACCGTATAAAATTAATTCTACTCTACTGAATACTTAGTGTTGAATATGATATCAGAAGGGGTTTTGTGGAGATTTTAGAAATTTCACTGGTTGAAGTCATGAGTTAATTGAAAGTAGACCACTATGGAAAACCTGGAAGCACTGGATGGCTGCTTCGTCCTGGTATGGGACTCCTCAGCAGTGCGCCTCCTCGACCTCGCCTACTGCAAGATTCGAACCCAGGACCTACTGGTCTCGCATGCGAGCACTTAACCACCAGACCACTGAGCCGGCATCCAACGGTGTTAATGTGTAACTTCAACCAATCCACGAAGTTGCACCACCGTACACTATTGAATAAGATATGACAACAATAAAATTTATAAAACTCTGTGTATTTATGTTAGTTTATTATTTATTTAAACGCATAAACATTGCTAAAAGGAGGTACCAAATAGATATGCGCTACATAAATCATTCGATTTGTGTGAGAGCTGGAATACTGCCTGGGTGCCCAAACCGAAACAGGTGGTTTTCTTAGGGGACCACTTCTGGAGACTTTGAACTAAAGGTCTAATCCACAAGGTAGTGGGATAAAATGTAAGGAGATGCAGTCACATGGTAGACGGTGACCAACGATTGGTTCATAGGTCATTTGTTCCGTCAGGATTCTGGAGCCTATGTGCACCATTGGTTTGGAATCAAAGTTTTCCAACTCCCCTAGGTGGACTGTCCGTGTCCACCAACTCGGTCAAATCGTTGGACTTTCACTTTTCGTCCTCCCAATTTCGTAAACAACAGTGATGCCGTGAGAAGATATTTAGTAGGACATCTCTGTCAGTGATTGTATACACGTGGCCATGTGAGAGCATTTGGAGATGGAGAGCCGACTCTTCGCACTCTCGACCGTATCATTGCATTTAGGGAATTTTATAAAAAGATATGGATGTCTCTGAAGGCTTTGTATAATCCTCAGGGAGACTGTATGAAATATATGGTAGATCTTAGGTGATAATTAACTCTTCAGAGATATGAAGTTGTGTTGTTTATCTTCATCCACATCACAAATTCCATAGCCAGTAAAAGAAATACTACTAGTGATTACATGATAATGTGCAGTATTATTATTGTATTTTATTGTTCTGTAAATAGTACATAACTACAAATCTGTTCCAAATTCTTTTCAGAACGCAGAATAAATACGTTAGTGTAAGGATGAAATAGTCCTAGTTTGAGACTTCTCAACATTCGGCATTCATAATGTCTACAGGAGTCAAACTCAAAAACCCAAAGATCTATCATAGAATCACAATCAATTAAAGCTATCGAAGTATATTCTACAAAGCAGGTTCTGGGTTCGAGTCACTGAAGTATAACTATGAATCACAAATAGAAATCTCAGAATATGATGATCAATTTATTATGGGCTTGGGGTATACAAATGAAATTAATGTGTGTATACACAAAAGATTAAAACAGACAACCTAGATCGTAACAGTTAAGTTTAGACTTTAAATGTTGTGTTTTTATTGAGATCATCAATCGATGAATGTTGGACCAGAATTGAAAATTTGGAAGCATAGGACAACCGGTTCGTGTCCATGTATGAGACCAAAAGTTATGGGTTCAAGTCCTATGTATAGGATAGTGGATACACATAAGTAAGGAATCACATAGAAGGACGAAACGGCCATCCAGTGCTTCCAGATTTTCAATGGTAATCTAGCATCAATCGATTCATGATCTCAATCAAATACAACATGAACACTACGTGAATAGTTCACTCCTTATGATGTAGATTCTATCAAAAGTATAAATCAGTAAGAATACATTCTTTATTTTCAAATAATGAAGATTTTTGTATCATAAAAATGTCATCATTGCTATCTTGCAATTTCTAACAAGTTCATACACAGATATTGTAAAAACAGTGAGAAGTAATCTGAAGGAGGTATTGCTGTAATCCTAATAAGTTATTAGTTTGTAGTGACTCACATTTATCACGAAAACACGACTGGTTTAATAAAAACAATTATTATTATTATAACCAACTGTACCAGCGTTTGTTTTAATGTGCTTTTGTTTAACTGTGCTAATGACAGCTATATTGTGCTTCCATTCTTATACTTACACTTTGATTGTAACTTCGCGCGAATTCGGTTACGTTCTGTAACCAAGCTTGTATCCTGGCACGATCTCGGTATCCTTTCGATGCCACGAGATCGCCAGCGAATATATCTCGATTTGGTCCATTAACTGTCTTCTGATATTTGGCTTCTTGGGGATTTTATGGATTTATTTGGTTACGTTCAATCTACGCCTTCTGATTTATTTGGCAGGTGTTTCTTTGTAGCGGTGTTCATAGTTAATCTCAACTCGACGCCATGCTACAAGTTCAATTCATGTGATAATTAAAGTTAAACTACCATAGAAAACCTAGTGAGAAGCCGTGATTAATGGCGTTCAACCAGATCTATCATAAGATAGTAACTCACTGAAGAAAATGGTGAATATGTCGATCTATTTCGTGAAGTAATTGAAGTTAGACATTTACACTATTGGATACTGATTCAATGATCTAAAGATTAAGCATTCGCATGTTCAAGACCGATTGATTGTGTTCGAATCTTATGATTCAAGATCATAGTGTAGTGAACAGAACACGGGTGGGGGACTACCGAATGTGTTCAGCACAAAATTACAGAGTTACTTTATAAAATAGAAAAACACTATAGTAAATCATATCAAACCGGACTGTTCCTGTTGCAATTATCAATCCATTGTCTCACATTTCATTGTTCATGCGTTTTTTTTTTACAAATTGCAATATGTTCCCGTCCTTCCTTTCTTGAGCTTTCCCCATCTTCTGCTACCAGATATTACGTTCTTTAACTCATGTCATATACTACTTATATCAATCTAAGCAGCACACACCATAATAGATGTGCATTGCTAAGAAAGAATCTCATAATAAGATGAAACAACCATCTAATTCTTCCAAAGTTTCCATAATAGTCTAACTTACATTTAATCATGAATTCCACCATTAAAACAAAATATAGTTGTGCTTTTTTTTTGTCATATTCACATTATACTATGTTTCCAATTATTATTATTATTATTAATTGTTTTAGATACAATATGTCTAGTCATTGAATTCATTGTCTATGATTTCGGAGATTAAAAAAAAAATGAAATAAAATTAGTCCTATTAAACCAAAATCCACCGCTTACTATTATTACTACCATCACTACTACTATTAGTACTATTAGTACTATTAGTACTAGTAGTACTAGTAGTACTAGTAGTACTAGTAGTAGTAGTAGTAGTAGTAGTAGGAGGAGGAGGAGGAGGAGGAGGAGGAGGGGGAGGGGTGGTAGTAGTAGCAGTAGTAGTATTTAATTGTTCCAGTTTCATTTGATTAGATTGGTGATTGTTACACATCTGAAATTATTTTATTATTAACCTATGTCTGGACATTGTTCATAATAATAATAATAATAATACTAATAATAACAATAGTAATAGCAGTGGTAGTGGTAGGCGTGAACGAAATCTCGATATGTTTTTCTCTTTTTTTTCTTTTTTCTCCTTTTTTTTCTTTTTTTTTGGTACATGTGTTGTGATTAACAATCTTCTTTTTTTTTCCTAGACAAACAGACAGAGAGACAATTTTATGTCTGATTCCCTCTTTTTTTTCTGTTTTTTTCTCTTCTCTCTTTTTTTTTAAAGTTGATTGTTAGTTCTTTTTTTTTTTAATTATTCATTGTCTGATAGAATAGTGTTAATTTGATTGAATAAATAAACAATGAATAAAGAAATGTGATTAAACATTTTGAAATAGACTGATTAGTAATGTAAATGTATCAGAAGGGGCTTTATGAAGATTGTAGTAATTTCAACAGTTGAGATTATGAGTTAATTGAATCTAGACCACCATAGGAGACCTGAAAGCACTGAACGTCCGTTTCGTCCTATTGTGGGATCCCTCAACAGTGTGCATCCACAACCTTATCTCGAGAGTTACGGACATATATGATTATTGATTAATAAGGAATAATGATACTAATCAACCTATGCTCACTGGTGACTGGCTTCAAGAGATATATCCTGGAGTTCTAGTGAGAAGCAGTGACCAGTGGAGTTTAACCGGGTCAATTGTGAGGTATTAATTCACTGATGACAATGGTGGATATATCGCTCAACTTCTTGGATTAGTTGAAGTTAGACATAAACACCGTTGGATGCCGACTCAGTGGTCTAGTTGGTTAAGCGCCTGGTGCGAGACTGATAGGTCCTGGGTTCGAATCCCGCGAGTTGGGGTCGTGGATACGTGCTGCTGAGGAGTCCTGCAATAGGACGAAACGGCCGTCCAGTGCTTCCAGGTCTTCCATGGTGGTTTAGCTTCAATTTACTCATGATCTCAAATGTTGAAATATGTATATCGGTGTATACTATTGTTTGCATCCTTTTTATTACTTACACCTGTTACCCGTCGGGGAGGAGAACAAGTCGCCCACCTCCGCTTTCTTTTGAACTTTGTCTCGGACAATTCTTTCAAGTTGTTTTTAGTTGTTAATTATCCTTTTCATGTTTGTTTCCAATTCTTGACATAGTGTGTTCTTTGATTTTTCAGTTTTCCGTTTCCGTTTAGCATTCCAAGTTAGTGTTTGCCTAGAGTGATACAGTTTGATGACTTCCACAATGTAGTTCCTATCCGCTTACAACGTCCTTTCTTAATTTCTTATTCAAATAGAAGCTGTTTTTTCATATCCCACAGTATGTTGTTATTGATGGTATCAGGGCAACGGATATTGAGTATCTTTCGTAGACAATTGTTTATAAATACTTGTACCGTTTTGATAGCGGTTGTAGACAGTCAGTCAGTCAGTAACAACGTAGAACTTCGTAAGTACGTACATCAGTTCGAGTTGCCACACCACATTAGCATAGAGATGCAGTGGTCGATTCAAATCCCGTAGTAGTAGAGGTAATAAGAGCATAAGCAGTAATCGGGAAGATTAGTGTTTGGAGATGCTACTTAAAGAGTATAATACAGTGAAATAAATTTGAGAGGAGAAAAAAAAGAGACAAGGAGGAATAAGGAGATCAAAATTTGGGAGAACACAAAGAGTGTAGTAGTTGTAGTAGTTCTCAACGTTTCATTTCCATACCATAGAACTAAATGTTTTAACATTCTTATTAAAGATTCTGACTTTGATAGTGGTTGATAGTTGTTTTGATTTGCATATACTCTTCAATTGTAGGAATACTGTTGTTGCTTTACTAATCTTCACCTCTACGTGTGCATCCGATCCTCCATCTTCATCGATGGCGCTTCTCAGGAACGTGAAAGATTCCACATCTTCCAGATTTTCTCCATCAAGTGTGGTCTGATTTGTCTTTTCTGTGTTGTATTTAAGGATGTTGCTTTTTCCTTTATATATGTTGAGCCCTATCGATTCAGAGACTGTTCTTATACTAGTTGTCTTCATCTGGATTTCTTAATGTGTATAGGAATATTGATATTTACTACTCAAATTTTAGATACATAGTCTATGCAATTCATTCATTATGAGAATTGAAATGATACAAATTTTATTTTTGCAAACATTTAATAAATGTCATTAAGGGAAACATATCACCTATCTTTCTTCCATTTGTTTAAAACCCTCTTAAAAAGCTGTCAAAAGTTAGATGATTGAGCTGCCCCAATTTATTGTATTTTATCTATTTGAACACATAAATATTACACAGATTGAAACCATGAGTCAATTGAAACAGGACTACCGTGGAAAACCTGCAAGCACTGGACGGCCGTTTCGTCCTAGTATGGGACTCCTCATCAGTGAGCATCCACGATCCCGCACCCCGCGAGACGCAAACCCAAGACTAACTTCAATTGACTCATGATTTCAATCTGTGAAATTTCTAAAATCTCCACAAACCCCTTCTGAACATAAATATTAGTACAAAGAGGTGGTGAATACATATACACCACCCAAGTCTCTTGATTTGTGTTTGAACTGTGATACTGCCTGGTTGCCAAGACTGAACATCTAAAAGTTTGACCCACAAGACAATAGAGCAACATTAAGAGATACAATCTCATGTATCATTTATTCCTTCAGCATCTTACAGTCCATGTATATCATTGATTTGAAGTCAGAGTTTTCCAACTCGCCTAGATTGATCCTTCATCTCTATTATAGTGCTAGACATTCACCTTTCGATTAAGATAACATACTCTCCCCTTCCCTTCGACTGTACCAGGACATCGAGGTATACATCATGGATTGATTTTACTCTTACTTACTTACTTACTTACGCCTGTTACTCCTCGTGAAGGAGCATAAACCACTCACCAGCATTCTCCATCCAACCCTGTCTGTGGCAATCATTTCCAGCTCCTTCCAGTTCCTATTCATCCTATCCATATCTGCTTTTATTATCCGACTTAGTGTGTTCTTAGGCCTTCCTATTTTCCGCTTCCCTTCAGGATTCCAAGTTAAGGTTTGCCTCGTGATGCAGTTTGATGATTTGCGTAATGTATGTCCTATCCATTTCCATCGTCTTTTCCTAATTTCTTCTTCAGCTGGAAGTTGGTTTGTTCTCTCCCACAGAAGGCTGTTGCTGATGGTATCCGGCCAATGGATGTTGAGTATCTTGCGAAGCCAGCTATTTATAAATACTTGTACCTTCTTGATGGTGGTTGTTGTAGTTCTCCAAGTTTCAGCTCCATACAGTAGAACTGCCTTGACGTTGGTATTGAAGATTCTCACTTTGATATTGGTTGAAAGTTGTTTTGAGTTCTATATGTTCTTCAATTGTAGGAGTGCGACCCTTGCTTTGCCAATCCTTGCCTTTACGTCTGCATCTGAGCCTCCTTGTTCATCGATGATGCTTCCCAGGTATGTGAAGGATTCTACATCTTCCAGAGTTTCGCCATCAAGAGTGATTGGATTGCTGTTCTCCGCCTTGAATTTGAGGACCTTGGTTTTCCCTTTGTGTATGCTGAGGCCTACTGATGCAGAGACCGCTGCCACACTGGCTGTCTTCATCTGCATCTTTTCTTGTGTATACGATAGGAGGACTAGGTCATTTGCGAAGTCCAAATCGTCTAATTTGTTCTGAGCTGTCCATTGTATTCCGTGTTTTCCTTCAGATGTCGAGGTCCTATTGATTTTACTCAAACAATTATTATTATTATTATTATTATTATTATTATTATTATTATTATTATAACTTAATCACTAGGTCAATATTCAATTCTGATTCGAATAAATTAAAACGTTTACTGATTTTCTAATTAAAATTATAATTTTATAATTAAAAATTAATTGAAAAATTTATATTGTCAGACTTTTTCTGTTTTTTTTGTTTGTTTGTTTGTTATAATTCCGTTTTGTTTTAATGAAACAAAAAAACGTGTCGATTCTACTCATATGAATATTTCAATCTAATATCAATGGTCACAGTAACAAAAGTTGGTCTCAATTAGACTAGTTGAGGAGGCGGTGAATGTCAATTCTAATTATGATAATCCGGTTGTTTTTTTTTATTATTTTTTTAAAAAAAACACACACAAAAAAGTAGTTTTTCTGGTGTGTGTGTGTGTGTGTGTGTTTGCGTGCCTATGTGTGCGTGCATGCGTGCGTACGTACGTGTGTGTGTGCGTAGGTGTTATCAATGTTTGTTTGATTATGATTTACCGATGAAGATGGTGAAAAGAAAAATTAAAAAAAATTTTGAAAAAATAAAAAAAATTTTTTTTTCTATCATTAGAATGGTGCCATTGTTCTAAAATTAGAATAGAATCATAGAACTAAGTCGGTAATAGATATTTATCTAATGAATAGAATAGTTCAAGTCTAGACAAAAAGTTTTAATTAAGAATTCGACTAAAATAGATCATTTTTATATAATGTATCTAAGTATATGGAGATAATAAGTGGAATAAGTGTCATTCCAATTGTTGTTGTTGTTGTTGTTCCCTTAGAGATAAATGTTATGAATATATATATATCGGGGTACTTTGAATAGTAGGAATGATCTTTTAGAACAAGCATAATATTAATAAAGGTATGAATTTCGGTAGATTCTAATTGTCGTTCACCTACTATCTTCATACTTGACTTGACTTTCTTTTTTCTTTCTTTCGTTTTCTTTTTTTTTTTCATTTTTCATTTTTTTTTCAAAACCGACTAATTCATTAAGAAATGAAGTTTAGCCGCTGATTGTTTGCCTTTTTAAAGTTTTCAACTTTATAACTAATAGAATAGTATGACTATTCTCATACAGTTTCATACAGTTACATTGTATATGACTGATTTAGATTGGAGGTTTTTATGAATAGTTTATATATATATATATATATATATATATGTGAATGTATATACATCCATTGATGTGTACTTTATAGGAGAATGATAGAATCTTTAATA